AACTAGAAACTGCTGAATTTTTTTAAATTCTGCCATTGAATCCCTGGCATGTGGACGTAGAAAAATTGAGTGATATTTGATAGGAATTGAATCAAAAGAGTTTTATAGAAATTATTTTAAAATGGTCGTTATTATGTTCTGTAGGTTTTTAAACCAACTTACCAAATTTTGCAGCAGGGAAATATAATTCCCTTCTATGTTCTATCAAAAGCTTTCTCAAAAATTTTTTTCCAGAAAACTTACCACTTTCCAGTTAAGTCAGTGGTGGGCAACCTCTCATTGGAGTTCCCTGTGTGGACCACAGGATATTTGGTTTACTGTTGCGCACATTTAGGGTTGCCAGATTCCACTGGTTTCTGTCTGTATAGTTTTTTTTTCCTCTACCAGTATTACTAAAGTGACATGCATGTAAAGCAAGGGCACATGAAGTGAGGTACATGCTGATTGCACACAACAATTGACTGTGAGAGCCATGCATGCTCTTTGCATCTAGTCAAAGCGCTGCTATGGTTCAGTCAGCACACCCCGAAAATTCTAGGTATCCAAGCACAGTTAGCAAAAACACCCTGGAAGTGGGTCTGGCCCACGAAAGCTCATCATCTAATAAACCATCTTGTTAGTCTTTAAAGTGCTACATTGTCCTGCATTTTGCTTCAACTACCCCAGACTAACACGGCTACATTTCTATCGCTATCCTGGGAGACCCTCTCAGTTATGACAGTCTTGCAGCCCACTGAGATAACCACTCACTAGCAAGGCTTCCTCTAATTTTTCCCACTGATGTGCAGAATAAATTTTGCTATATGCACCGAGGCATATATGGATGCATGTAGAAATATGTGCTGCTGCTTGTTGGTGCTATGCTAATCAGCTGGGTGGCATTTGAATCTATCCTGGGTGGCCGCCCAAGCACTCAGCTTACAGGGAACACTGCTCACCAGCTTAGTTTGTCTATTGCTGAATGAAGTCTTTTACAACATAGTCTACTAATTTTCAACTGTGGGTTCCAAAAGTTAAAATACATAAAAATGGCCCAGTTTTCAGATGGAACCTCAGGTGCTTTGATGATTTTAGTGATAGGTTTAACCTAATTTTATCATTGGTTTCAGTCTGAGCTATTAAACAATTGCTGAGTATGTTTGTTTGAAATTTCCACTTATGTGCCTAGCTCTTGGCATCTAAATATGGAAGAGTTTGCTATGTTTGCTTCCACTTTCCCCATCTGTAAAACAAGGAGAGTTATACAGTAAAAGCCCTTTTATTTGGCATGCTGGAGCAACGGGGGAGAGGAGGAGAGGGATGCTGGTAAATTAAAAATGGTGATTAACTAAGGCTATGTCTGGTGCTATTCTGAAATAACTGCTTGTGTGTAAATACAAACTGTTATTTCAACATAATGTCAGAATAATGTTGAACTGGAGGACTTCTTACTCCAACTCTGGTAACCCTCGTTGTATAAGGAGTAAGGGAAGCCGGGGGAAGAGTGCTCTATCTCAAAATAACTGCTGTGTGGACAGCACCAAAAGTCGAAATAAGCGATTTCAACTTAAGCTACACAATTAGCGGTGCATAGCTTATTTCAAGTTTAGCCCTGCTGTGTAGGCATGCCCTTAGAGGAAGGGGTTTGAAGTGCAGGGGTGAGGATGCAGGGGCAAGTGCATGGATGGGGCTGCAGGACACTGGCTATGGGAGAAGGCTTGAGTCTAGCAGGAGGTTGGGGGTTAGGAGTGACTTGGAGTGCTGGATGGGGAGCAGGTGCTCACCAGCAGCTACCCATCCCTCCTGCTCCAGGCAGCAAACCCCATCTCTCCTTGCAGCTCCTGTTGGTATTGGTTCCTGGCCAATGGGCTAGGAGCTAGGAGTCAGCAATATGGTGGGGAAAATGGAGCCAGCATGCCTGCAGAGCTACCTGGCCATGCCGTACAGCAGGGACAGGGAGTTTTGAAGAAGCTAGACTACCGCTGGAGTAGGAGTAAGGGGAGGAAGGAAAGACAGGTAATTTGAAGTCTCAAAAGCTTGACAATATCCCTTTAAAGAAAAAAATATGTCGGTGTACACTTGCTTGTTTCTATGAATGGCACAAACACACATTCATGGCAAAATATTTTTCCATGGTTTTCATTTGTGCTAGCTTGCCATGATTGTGCTTTTCTTAATTGTTTGCTAATAACATGCAAAGTGACTAGATGTAAATCAAGTCAAGTTCTCCCTTCATTCCAGGTGGTGGAAGTGGTGTAAAATGACAAATGGACCAATCCAGAAAGGAATTACAATGAAGGCAATGATTCCAGAAAACAACCTTTGCCCTCTTTAAGAGGAAGACAAAAAAAATGCAGCAGATATGAATTGCACATAACATTTATGTGCTATCTTATGTTTTAAAAGTGCGGTACGAACATTAACCACTTCATCCTTTTAAGTATCTTGGAGGAAGGAAAGGGCAGTAAAATCTGGCACTTCACCAACTGAGAAGTTCAGTAAACAAGCATTTCTGATCTGCTCAGAAATAGGGTTGCCAGATGTCCGGTTTTGAGCTGGACAGTCCAGTATTTGAGCTTTCTGTTTGGGAAACAAATTGAGAAAATATAAATGTCCGGTATTTTCTAAATAAGATGTAATGTAGATTGTGATGTAATGTCAAGTGTGTCCGGTATTTTTGTTGAAACCATCTGTCAACCCTACTCAGAAAACACGGTTTATAGTGCAGTTGATGCGGAAATGTGGGTGGGGTTGCAGGGAACCCTCTCTGAGGGACCTTGAGTCTGGGATGGGCTTGGCAGAGGTTGGGATACAGGAGGGGCTCGGAGTGCCAGATGGGCAGAGAGTGCTCTATTGTTAACAGCAACATTTCCATTGCATTGCATTGAATTGAATCTTCAGTGAGTATGTTTGGATATAAACTGTTCATCATGGGACTTACAATCCAAAATGTAAAAATTCTCTAGTATTTGAGGATGAGACAGTGAAACTAAATTCTATGTTTTTATTGTGGTTTTCAACAAATCAGTAGATTTCATTAATGGTGAGATATTCAAACTCTTTGATATTTTAAGATATTATTAATTCAGACAGTCTTTTTTAATAAGATTTTTTTTAACCTAACAGCCCCTTCAAGATTAAACAGTGTTTCAAGTGGGATGTAACTGGGAAAGAAGTTTACAATGTTCTCCTTCAGATTGTTTTCCCTAACATTTGTGGAAATGAATTCTCCTAGTGCAAGTTAAGACTCCCTCATCATGACTTTATTTGGGAAAAATTCCCATTTTTGACCTCTGGTAGCTGTATCTGATTAAAGAAAACGGAATTAGAATACTTTGAAAATATTAACGTCTGGGAGTTTTAGGACTCTTTAAGGCCTCTTGAATTTCTCTTTAACATTAGCTATTCTATCTCTGGCTCAAACTAGATGAAAATAAAAAAGTGTTAAGGATGATTTTTATCCCTCTTAAAACTCAATCTATTTTTTTTTTCACTATGGCCTGAGAACCACGCAGTAGGAGTTGGGCTAGTAGATGTAATGTATATACACAAGGGCAGTCCTCCGTTTTATTTATATTTAAGTACCATAGGTGCACATTTGTTATTGCCTTCAGCCAACATTTATATTTTGGTACAGTTGATTTTGCTGCTGTTATTCTTTGGTTGTTCTGTATGCAGAATGAGGGGAAAAGACTGAATCTCAGTTCAGTTTAATTCAGGGATTGCAATTGCAGATGAAATGCTGTAGCCTTTTCTTTAGGAAAGGAAATGATCCTGTCAGATTAGAGGCTATTGAACGTTCATGTTAATTGCAAGAGTGGTTATGTGCAGTCTAGTAATTATCTGTAATTTTAAGGAAGACAGATGTAGCATTAGCTTCTGACTTTAGATAACAGCCTTATTAATTTTCAAGTGAGCAGCAGAAGCAGATGGTGAGATGAAGGAAGTAGTCAAATGTTTGCCATTGATAGCTCTTACTTTTGTGTAATAAATTTGGCTGGTGATTGGCTAAGCCAGCAGGGTCCTGATTGCTATCAGGACTCTAACCAGCTGGGTCCTTCCTGGGGCTCTTTTCAGAAGGCTGGTGCATGCTAATGTGTCTTAGGACATGACAAGCATTGTTTAAGTTACAATGCAGTGGGATGGTTCTATATAAATAGACACGCTGAGACCAACAGAACCAAAGCTTCCTCATTGAGAATCTTTGGTCCCTGAAAAGCAAAACATGAACAAAAAACTACACTTATTACACGCTGATCCACTTCTTTAAGAAGCAGTTAGGTATGAGGATTTTTGCATTTCAGATTTTGGTGGAACAGTATTTGGTTGTATTGCCCCTCTAATGTTACTTGGGATGATAGGAAGAAATGTTCAGTCAGACATAGCCTTTTTTGTCAAATATTGCTGAGCATGCAATTCAGGAAATTGCCATTTATGGGGTAGACAGGTGGCATGGATCATCTTGTTCTGCAGAGAGCCCCACCACCACTGATAAAAGTGTGACACAAACAAGGGGAATTGCATGCAGGTCCAGTCATAGAATACAGCTGGCGGGGTCCTTTTTTTAACTTTCACAATAACTAGCAGCTCAACTGACGCCAATTGGCAGCTGTGCAGACAGTTACAGAAACAGCTAAGGATGTCATTGGCATGAAGGCTCTCCCCCTGCCCCCAATAGTTGGTCAAAAGAGTTGGGACCTGGAGGTAGCGGGAATCATACGCTGTTTATGCTGTGATCATTCGGTGGAGGAGAAGCGAACACATTCATCTGGGCCATCATTCTAGAATTGTGACAAACATTAAATTGACTCCAGTGATGTCGATTTTAGTGAATGTGTTCAGGGTCATGTTAATCTATGTGAGTATAGCATAGTGAATGTATATAACAAATAAGGAGAATACTTATGTGTTGCAGCATATACATTTTTTTTATACAGTAATGACATTTAGTTGGAGTGTTGTAGGCATAATTTTCGAAGACAATTCTGGCAATACTGATATCTTTGGACATGTTTCTACAGTGTTATGAAACGTACCACTGGACGATATGTTGCAAGATTTGAAAGGACCAACTTTAAGCAGACAATTGGCAGGTCAGTTTCCTTAATTACAGTAGACTATTGAACATTAAATAAAGAGGCCACTGTTTCCTGACAGCTGACTTGTATCTGCTATGTTCTTCTGCTTTTGGCGGGATGAACATGATTGCAGCTGTATGTGTATTTTTTTCTCCATTTGTCCACAAGTAAAATTACCAAGTTTGAAATGTCAATAACTAAATAACAAACCACTGACTTTCATCAGACATGGCTTGGTTTTTTGGTCAGTAGAGCTATTTATATGAGCAGGGACTGGAAAGGGTTTGCAAAGGTAGCTAAGAGAAACAGATGCAAGATCAGATAGGGCACAGCTGTTAGAGCAGGGAGAATGGGGAAGTCATTGTGGAAGGGAGTGGATTTAAGGAGGTATTTCAAGGGTGAAGGGAAGAGAAGGTGCTTGGCAGAGAAAAAGACTTAGCAAACATATGGGAGCAGCATGACAGAACACTAAGTTCAGAGAATAGTAAGGGAAAGGAAATTGATAGACCGTGGAAGAGGAACAAGCGGGAATGAAAACAGTTGGATAGATTTTGTTTGATTTTTGTAAGGGAGATTATGGGTCTTGTAACTGATATTGTAAGAGACAAGAACCCAATGAACAGATTCAGATAGGGAGAAGAGGTGGATGGAGTTGTAGGAGCTAATGATTTTTCCATTAGCATTTTCTGGTTTTATTAGGGATGTGAAAGGTTAACTGGTAAGCATCATGCATTAAAGGTGATGCTTACAGGTTCCAGTTAACTGTTAACTGGTAGGATTTGGAGCAGCTCTTTGCCTGCCGCAGACAAGGAGCTGCTCCAGCCCCATTGGGAGGCCCACTGCAGAGAGGCACTTCTCCGGCTGTCTGGAGCAGCTCCTATCCGCAGCAGGTCCGGGCGCCCCGCAGGCAGAGGCTGCTCCAGTGTCTGGAACTGAGGCACACCACAGGCAGAGGCTACTCTGGCCAAACCTATGGCGGGAGGGGTGCTCCAGCCTGCCCCCTTTAACCAGTTAGACATAATGTTTAACCGGTTAACCAATTAAACGAGATTTTACATCCCTAGGTTTTATGTTAGCATTTAGACAAATTTGATTTAAATTTCATTCTTAATGCCCAGTTCAAACCATATCACATCTATATATTGGAGGAGATTCCCATCTGGTGTCAATTATGTTCATGCCATTGAAATCAATAACACTGTGGAGATGTACCCCTGGTGAGATTCTGGAGCATCACATTTAATTAACAGTTGTTATGATAAGAAGACATACTTTGTATACAGTTTTGATAAGTATTTGTTCACTTACAATCTGACTATATATTTTAGTGGTGTTTTGGTTTACTGCTTAGATTTGTCTTTAGTCCATAGTCCCATATTCATGGTCAAGAAGGCTGCAGTTGAAAAAAAATTATAATAGAGTTTTAAGAAAGTGCATGTTTCAGTTAACTCTTCCTTCTGGAAATCAGTGATCTTCAAGAAGATTTACACAACCAAAAACTAAAGTTGTATTCAACTTCAGTGAATTAAACCTTAATTTGTCCTCACAATATAGCAATACATATTTATGCTTCATGGAAGTTTTGAGTTCAACTCTGAAGTAAAACATTGTAAATATGACTAATTAAAGCAATATAGCATGTACATGATTTTTCAAGAGCCATATAATAATTTTTGTTAAGCAGAGAAGCCTGATTGGATAGATCCTCATCAAGCTACATGCTGCTGTAACTTAAAGAAATATAATAAAAATCCTATCAGACAGAAAAATCCTATGCATATTTTTGCTGAAGTTCTGTATATGAGCATATTGAACATAAAACTGCAGCTGTTGTGCATTAAATTTTCTCTGAGAAGAGCTGTTGGCATGCTGTATCCTGCCTTCAGTGCACTGTAGAGAACCCAGTTGAAAAGCAGGTTCTGAATATGTCTTGTATTTCACTTACATGTATGCAATATGACACACAATGCTGAAGTTGTTATTTTTTAAATATAACCTCTTGGTAACACTGTTTACTGTCTTGCAAGAGTTGGGCATAGGAATTGTCACATTTTTATTGACAATTGATTCTCCTATACAACAAAAGAATGGTCATACTGGGACAGACCAAAGGTTGGGACAGACCAAAGGGCCATCTAACCCAGTATCCTGATACTGTCCATCTAACTCAGTATCCCACTCCCCGAGGAAGTGAACAGAATAAGTAATCATCAAATGATCCCTCCTGTTACCCATTCCCAGCTTATGGCTATCCCGGCTAATAGCTAATGATGGACCTATCCTCCATGAATTTATTTAGTTCTGTTTTGTATCCTGTTAAAGTGCTGGTCTTCTCAACATCCTCTGAGAAGGAGTTCCACAGGTTGACTGCATTATGTGAAAAAATACTTCCTTTTGTTTGTTTTAAACTAACTTCTGTCTATTTCATATGGTGACGCCTACTTCTTGTGTTATGCAAGAAAGAAAACAACTTTTCTTTACTTACTTTCTCCACACTAGACATGATTTTATAGTCCTCTAACATATCCCCCCTTAGTCTCCTCTTTTCTAAGCTGAAAAGTCCCAGATTTATTAATCTCACCTCATGGCAGCCGTTCCAAATCCTTAATCATTTTGGCTGCCCTTGTCTGAACTTTTTCCAATTCCAACATATCTTTTTTGAGATGACATGAGAGACTCAGTGAGATAATACATATGATTGGAATATTGGTATAGAAGGGTACAGTGTGCTCAAGAAGGATAGGCAGGGAAAAAAGGGAAATGTATATGGAAAAAATACATTTATGAAAAATGTATACACTTGGACTGAGGTGATGATAGACATAGGGGACAGATTTGTTGAGAGTCTTTGCATTAGGTTAAAAGGGGTAAAAAAACAAGGGTGATGTCATATTAGGGATCTACTACAGACCACCTACCCAGCCAGAAGAGGTAAATGAGGCTTTTTTAAACAATAAAATCATCCACTGTGCAGAATTTGGTGATGATGGGGAACTTCAACTATCCAAACATATGTTGGGAAACTAACAGAGCAGGGCACAGATTACCCAATACATTCTTGGACTGCATTGGAGACAACTTTTAATTTCAGAAAGTTGAGAAAGCTACTAGGGGAGAAGCTGTTCTAGTTTTGATTTTAACAAATGAAGAGGAACTGGTTGAAAATTTGAAAGTGGAAGACATCTTGGGTGAAAGTGATCATGAAAACATAGAGTTGATGATTCCAAGGTATCGTAGAATGGAGAACAGCAAAATAGAGAATGAATTTCACGAAGGCAGACTTCAGTAAACTCAGAGAGGTGATAGGTAAAGTCCCAAGGGAAGCAAGGACTGGTTGAGGAAAACCAACTGAAGACAGTTGGCAGTTTTTCAAAGGCACATTATTTAGGGCCCAAAAGCAAGGGATTCCACTGCATAGGAAAGATAGAAAGTATGGCGAGAGAACACCTTGGCTTAACCAGGAGATCTTCCTTGATCTAAAAATCAAGAGTCATCTAAAAAGTGGTAACTAAGTCAAATTACAAAGGATGAATATCAGCAAAAAACACAGGTATGCAGGGGCAAGATTAGAAAGGCAAAAGCACAAAACAAGCTAAATCTAACTAGAGACATGAAGGGTATCAAGAAGACATTCTACAAATATATTAGAAGCAAGAGGAAGACCAAGGACAGGGTAGGTCCATTGCTCAGTGAAGAGGGGAGAAACAATAACAGGAAACTTGGAAATGGCAGAGGTGCTTAATGACTTCTTTGTTTCAGTTTGTCAAAAAGATTGATGGTGATGGGATGCCTAACATAGTGAATGCTAGTGGAAATGAAGTAGGTTTAGAAGTTTAAAAAAAAGGACAATTTAAAAATCATTTAGAAAAGTTAGATGTTTTCATATCACCAGAGCCTGATGAAAAGTGCCCTAAAATACTCAAGGACCTAATAAAGCAGGTATCTGACCTTTCAGCTATCATCTTTGAAAAGTCATGGAAGTCAGGAAAGATTCCAGAAGACTGGAAAAAGGCCAATATAGTGCCCATCTATATATATATAAAAAAAAAAGAAATGAGAACAACCTAAGAAACTACAGACCAGTCAGTTTAACTTCTGTGCCAGGAAAAATGAGGGAGCAGATAATGGAGGAATTCATCTGCAAACATCTGGAAGATAATAAGGTGATGGGTAACAGCCAGCATGGATTCGAAGAATATATCACGTTAAACCAATCTCATAGCTTTCTTTGATAGGATAACAAGTCCTGTGGATGAGAGAAGTGGTAGACATGGTATACCTGGCATTTGTTACGAAGTTGCATGACCTTCTTATGAATAAATTAGAGAAATACAACATAGAGGGGGCTATTGTCAAGTGGGTGCATAACTGGCTGGATAACCCTTCTCAGAGAGTAGTAGTTAATGGTTTGCAGTCAAACCATTGGGGTTCCACAGTGGGGTTCCACAGGGGTCTGTTTTGGGACTGGTTCTGTTCAATATCTTCATCAACGATTTAGATATTGACATAGAGAGTCCAACTGGTCCCTGAGTTGCGAACTGTCGACTTACGACCGTTTGCATTTATGACCGAAGCTGTCGTAAATGGTGGACCCCGAGTTTCAAACGCGATCCGCGCTTACGAACAGCGCGGTCGAGTGTAATTCTATGGGGTCTGACTTACGAACAAACCGAATTACGGACCAATTGCTTGGTCCCTAACCAGTTCGTAAGTCGGGGAGAGGCTGTATGCTTAAGTTTGCAGATGATACCAAGCAGGAAGGGGTTGCAACTGCTTTGGAGGATAGGGTCATAATTCAAAATGATCTGGACAAACTAGAGAAATGGTCTCAGGTAAATAGGATGAAGTTTAATAAGGACAAATGCAAAGTACTCCACACAGGAGAGGACAATTCATTTCACACATACAGAATGAGAAGTGATTGTCTAGAAAGGAGTACTCCTGAAAGGAATTTAGGGGTCATAGTGGGCCACAAGCTTAAATATGAGTCAACAGTGTGACACTGTGGCAAAAAA